GGCCAGAATCAAATAGCAGCCCATATTCTCATTTTTCTTAAATCCTTAGCAAATGACGAGTCAGTGGGACCGAAACCGAATTCAGCAGCAATTATTTACAGTATATTGAAAATTTGATGGTAAAAAATAGATTTCAAAAATAATCATGATATCTCCCACTTTATAATCCAATCATCTTCATCTAGGGAGGGGCAATCGAAACTAGATAGTATATAGTATGTTTGGGTCGACGAGAATAAAGAGGAGAGGAGGAAAAAATCTTTTTTTCATTTATGGATTGTTTGATATAATGATTAAAATTTAATAAATAATGTGTATCAGATAGTGAGTGATAAATAATAAAAAATAAGTAACGGATAGTAAATAATAAATTTAATTAATATAAATATTTAATTATATAATAGTTAATTGTTGCTATTTGAAATCAAATGACTAAGACATATTAAAAGAAATGGGAGGGGAAGATTTTTATTTATTTTTTCTTTTAATTTAATTATTTATCAAAAAAATAAAAAAAGAGAAAAAAAGAGAGGGAAGGGGAATAGAAAAGAATAAAAAGATATAATTCTCCTCTTATTTTTCATTCCTTAGTTTCTTTTAACGCAAATATAAGAATAAGGTTCAGAAATATACAATGATTCCACATTATTCTCAAACCTGGCGGCTGGATTGATGGGCACTCCTGTAGGCCCATCTTGCATACAAATTTGGGGACTCTCAATTCCAACATCCAACAAGAACTCATCTGCCCTTAAGTATAAAACTTCAGATTGTAAGGCATTTTCACCACACGAGAAAAAACTTGAATTAGATCTTGGAAATGTTGACTCAAATAGATACTGGCCACTGTTTTCAAAGAAAAAGAAAAAAAATAAAGATACTGGCCACACGCTTCATGAATGGAACGATTTTTAGTGGTTTATCAATTTAGCTAGCTTACGCCAGTGAAGTGCATGATAAATGGTTTATTTTCAATTATAATTTCAGCTCGCAATATATATTTTATTAATTGAGTTTTCCAAATGCAAATCACCAGGAAAGAGCACTAGGGGATTAATGTTCCTTCTCTGTAATATTCTCTTTGGCAGCAGCATTAGGAAGCTGAAGACTGTACTGAATTCTTCCACTGTTTTTGCCATTTGCCAAGGAATCTAAACTCATCAAGCTGCAAATTTCAGAACATAAAGTTTCAAATTAAATGAAAAGGAAAAAAGAAAAAAGAAATGAATGAAAAGAAAAGGAAAACAACATACCTTTCACCTGTAATGATAACTGAACGAAGCTCACAATTCTGAAATCTATCCACAATTAACAGAAAATAATCATGTTTTAAAGAAATATATGATGGAAAAAAGTGGGGTTTTTTTAATTTAAAAAAAAAGGGGGGAGGGATTTCGCAGGTCACCGTTTGAAAAGATCAGTCTTCGTTGGTAGGTTAGACTTGGCCCCAACTGCCATAACTGTATCCTGCAAGAATACGCCATGACTAACAATGGCAATTTCCTTCTCTTTTCTTGTCCATAGCCTGCATATATTAGAAGAGAGTAGAGCCAGATCGTTTCAATAGATGATACATAGACTCAAAGATTCAATTTGTTAAGAATTTAAAATTTAAAATTAGATATTTTAAATTGAATAAAAAAAAAGACTTAAAAAAAATTCAAATATATAAAAAAAGTGTCACACACAAATAAATGTCATTTTTGCAAGATTTTTTTATTTATATTAAATGATCCAAGCATCATCATATTCAAAAGTTCCAATAAATATGTTGCATAACTAGATTTATAATGTGGTATGTTATGGGAATAATATGTAATTTAATTTTATATTATTTATGAGTTAAATACCTCTTATACTCAAAAATAAAATTTTTTATTAAAAAAAAAAATTCTTAGGATAAAACAGAGTATGTTAACATAAAATCAATATCTATAAAAAGGAAAGAACCAAAAGTGTCACCATTTTATAAATTTGACTCCTCTAGCAGCAACTTCTTCATGGGTTTCTCTGCGATCAGCAGTCCACAGACTATCATCTTCACTCTCTATCTGGAAACAGAAAAAAATTGACATATTTTTTTTTGTTTTTTTCTTAAATTCCCCAAGGTCTAAAATTAACTTGGGATTATAGGCTTGGGAATACTTGCCAATGAAAAATCCACAGCTTGAAAAAGAGACTTATACTTGCTGATGCTTCTCCTCTTATTACATGGTTCAACACCCTTCATCGAAAGTAGTACATCGTATATACGTAAGAACAAAAAACAAATGAATTCTAAATCTTTGAAAAAACACACTAACACAGTACCAACACAAACATGATGTCATTAGACATACCAGACGTTCTCGACAAAGTTCAACTGCTAGAACAGGAATACAATTGAAAGATGCAATTGCAGTGTGATTTTGGTCCTGGTCCATCGTAGATGATGCTCCATCTAACTCATTTGCTAAGCCTTTGCTCCCGAAAACTCCAATGGCTGTTTGAATTGTCCTGGAATTCCATCTTTTCCAGATTAGAGACTTATATTGACGTAGTATAATACCAACGATGACTTGGTAATAAGGAGACAGATTCGATACCTTAACATAGGGGAAGTTATCACCAATTCTATCCTCTCAACCAGTCCATGTTCGTAAACAAATTTTCTTAAATCACGAACCTGCTAAACACACAATAATGTTATAATTCTATAGCTGAAACTCGGAGATTATATGTACAAAAATAGGAAATATATACCTGCTGCCAGCCTACAGTCGAGAGGGGCGCATCAAGAAGGTCATAGGACTTCAATGCATCAGTATTCTCCTCCGCTGCTACATTGTGTATCCCTTGTGCATGCCTCACCTGGATGCATAAGCAAATATTTGTATTCATTAGTTCATCAAAATGTATACCTTAATTTATATCGGTTAAATTAGCTATTATGACTAATTGACCATAATTCTTGTGATTAAGCTTTTAATCTAGGCCGAACACTTCTTTGAATTAATAACATCTAGAAATTAAAATAAATAAATAAATAAAATTGCATACCAGATGAAGGATTTTGAAGTCATGTGGTTGTGCAGCTGTGGCTGTGTCCATATCTGCAGAAAGGAATGGACCGTATAAAACTTATACGAAGTCTTTTGGACTACATATTGACATCAATATCAAACTGTTACAAATACATATTGCTTTGTTTTTGTCAGATCACCTTGCAATTGGCAATAACAGAGAAAGCGAAAAAAGGCCGCCCAACAAAATGCTCAAGAGACCTTTCATCTCCGCAGAAAATTATGTATCCTTTGAAGTGTGGAAAATTTGCAATGAACATAGGAGAAGACCATAAGATCCCAATCTTCAACCCTTAAATTCCTAGAAATTTCCCAGCCTAATAAAACAATCAAAGCTATAATACCAAGAATTAGTAAACAAATATAAGTGCAATAACATTGTCCCACATGAAAGTGATCCGAGTGTCCTATCTTTAAGAGTTTTGTTCAATTTGATTTCGTCTAGGTACTTGAACCATCATAGAGCATACTACCCTACAAAAAAAAAAAAAGAAATCAAAATTGCTAGAGATGGTTGCAATTTGCAAAGCCAAAGAGCGTGGCTTTAAAAAATTCAGTTTAATAAAACAAACCAATAACTTAAAATAGGCAAAATTGTTGGAAATTAGATCCTATTATTTAGTCATTATCTCTATATTTTAAAAAGTTTAAGTTATTTATTTGTTTTAAGTTATTATCATTTAAATTAGATTAGATAAGATTGATTAATTATCTTTTTAAATAATATTATCTTGTAAAATCTATTTAAAGGCTGGATTATTTTCAGTTTAATGAGAGATTTAGTTTTTCATTCTATCTTCTTCTTCTTGGGAATCCTCGATTTTTAACAAAAATTGGATAGTGGATGAAGACGAGCATTATAGGTCTCTCCAAGAACACAGATTCAATCCATTCTGCCGACACCCGCCTGCAGTTTGCTTTGATTTTTGTTGGTATATTTGATTCCGTTTTAAACCCCTAAGTCTT